ATATATATATATATATATATATATATATATATGTATATATATATATATATATATATATATGCATGAACTTGATTAAAGTTTCTCTTATTTCTTTTTTTAGGCATCGTATGAAAGGGAAGACAGTTTTGTTCAACCCGGGCTGTGATCATGCTGGAATTGCTACGCAGGTGGTGGTAGAGAAGCGTTTGAAACGTGAATTGGGTTTAACAAGGCATGATCTGGGTCGAGAGAAGTTTGTAGAAGAAGTGTGGAAATGGAAGAATGAGTGCGTTTTTCTTCTCGGTTCTGTTTAGAAAAAGTGTAACGGCAAGCGACTGCATGTGAAATCACTGCGTAAAAGGAATATCAAAAAAATATAGACGAATTCTTTGTTTTATTTTCTTATTAAATATAGAACTAACATATATCAGTCTTATATTTTGTAGATGTTTCGCAGTAATTCGTAGTTACAGTTCGAATTGTTTCACAATAATGCATTTTGAATTTTTGATTGAAATATGTGTGACAAACTCATAGCTTTACGCTAGAATGATCTCTCTTTTTTTTCACGTCATTACAGAAAAGGAGAAGTAATTTACAACCAGTTGCGAAAAATGGGTGCAGGGGTTGATTGGGATCGAGCATGTTTCATGATGGATCCAAAAGTAATACGCGCTGCAACATATGCCTTTACAATAATGCATGAAAGAGGTGTTATATATCGAAGTAATCGGCTAGTAAATTGGTGTTGTGTTCTGAGATCTGCTATTTCCGACATCGAAGTATTATTTCCAACTTCTCGCATCATTTACCCTTATGTTTTTAACACAAGAAATGAGGGTAACTAATGCATTTTAATGCATTCTGATAGTACTGTAAGTTGTTGACTTGAACTATAAGGCTTTTTCATCAAGGTCACAAAATTTGTAGTGAATTTGAATTTTAAAGCAATTAAGAAGAATGTTCTGTCTTACTACATAATAATGGGCCATGTTGTTGAATACTATGATGGCGTTGTGACAGTGTGAGACTAAAGAATGATGCATCTCTTTTGAGTTATATTGATTTTCTGTCACTTTATTCAATATTACCTTCAGGTTGACAAAGTAGAGTTGGGCGGATGTACATTGTTGTCTGTTCCTGGATATTCAAAGAAAATTGAGTTTGGCGTATTGACATCTTTTGCTTATCCTATCGAAAATTCAGGTACTGCGTAACGCTTTTTTATTTTTATTTAAAATCTTGCTGTCTCTCTTTGTCATATGAGTAGTATTATTTTCATTTATTATTTCATTTAGATGAAGAAGTCGTAGTAGCAACTACTCGAGTTGAAACCATGTTAGGTGATAGCGCAATTGCTGTACATCCAAAAGACAATCGATATAAACACCTTATTGGCAAGGTTCTTTCGTCTTTTACATTACAGACAAAGTGGTTAGGTATATGAATGTACTTAGAAAAATGTACTAATATACTAAGCTGAAAGCATAATGCATTTTTTTTTCAAAAAATTGGACATTTTCGCGTTACATGAACTCCTTTTCTTGTCTTGTTTGATGTACTAGAATCTATAAAAGTTTCAAATCAAAGAGAGTTTAACAATAACTCAAAGCATTCAGTAATCTTATGGCTAAGATATCTAATTTATTCTAGAATTGCGTACATCCATTTCTTCAAAGAAAACTTCCAATTATAGCAGATTCATTCGTCGACATGGAATTTGGAACAGGTGGTTTTAGTTCTGTATGCTCTTGAATCGATTCCCATGATTCATTAACTGTCTTTACATAACGAAATATTACGTTTTAAACAAATTCATGAATTGGAAATGAAACGTTTTATTCAGGGGTTGTGAAAATAACTCCTGCTCACGACCATAACGACTATGAGGTAGGACTGCGTCACAATTTAGCATTCATTACCTGCTTCACAGATGATGGTAAAATGAGCGAACATTGTGGCGAATTCAAGGTTATCTTTTTATTTGCAAAATATGACAAACATTCAAGATTTTACGAATTAATCAGATTAGATGCATGCATTTTACTAGTATAAATACTTGTTACTCTTATTATCTTCTTTATATGCTTTAGAACATGAAACGATTCGATGCAAGGGATGCAGTTTTAGAGGCGCTCAAAAAGAAAGGTCTTTTCAGAGGGCAAAGTGATAATCCAATGGTTGTTCCTTTATGCAGGTGAGCTTCTAGCAGATGATAAGTTTTTTCTTTTGACATTTTTATCAACTGAATAGTTTCAAAGCTGCTCTGATTGAAATCCCAAAAAATTTATAGTCGTACCAAAGATATTGTCGAGCCGATTTTGAAGCCACAGTGGTATGTAAAATGTGATCAGATGGCACAGCGAGCTATTAAGGCTATAGAAGAAGGTCATTTAAAAATTATACCAGATTTTCATGTTACAGCTTGGCGAAAATGGCTGGAGAACATCAGGTACATTCAGTTTTCTTGGTTTCAGTGCAAGATATTGAAAAGAATTCGGAGATTACTTTGCATTCAGGGAGCAACCTTTTTGCTCGGTATTTTACCGTGGTTGCTGGTAAAAATTTTTAGAAGTGCTTTAAAGTGTTAGAATGTAAAACGAAGTGTACCACCTGAATTTTGTTATAAATTTACGATCACTCTGTAGAGATTGGTGTATCTCGCGGCAGCTGTGGTGGGGTATTCGAATACCTGCTTACTTCGTTAGCATCGATGATCTTAAAGTTCCTGCTGGAACTTCTGATAACAATGATTATTGGGTGAGTGCATATAATGAAGCTGAAGCATTGGAAAAAGCTGCTCGAAAATTTGGCGTTTCGGAAGAGAAAGTTTCTGTGAAAAGAGGTAATTTTCATATCAATTGTTTATATGCTTCCTAGATAAGTCACTGAGTAAATTTTCTTTCCCTGAGTCATTTTTTGGCTGATTTACTGATGAAATTATATTTCATTTCCAAGATTATATCAGTTCTTGTTCATCACTCTTGTCTGTTTTTCTAATATATCGACGTCTGTTTTACTTGAGCAAAGAGCAAGCTGATTTACAGATGAAGACGTTCTGGATACCTGGTTTTCTTCCGGAATGTGGCCTTTTGGAATTTTTGGTTGGCCTGAAAAAACTGCTGACTTAGATAAATTTTTCCCTGGTACACTTCTGGAGACTGGACATGACATACTTTTCTTCTGGGTAGCACGGATGGTGTTTTTGTCGCAAGAGCTTACTGGGAAGTTACCGTTTCAGGAAGTTAGTTTATTAACTTCATTTGCCGCAGAAGAAGCAATGTGATAATAAAGGGAATGACTAAACGAGAATTTTCATGCGAGAGTGAAAGGAAATGGAAAAATAACAAATTTCTTTGAAGTTCGTTAAAATGTTTAGTAATGAATCACTTTCACAAGATTAAACCTCTCTTTTTTCTAGGTGTATTTGCATGCCATGATTCGGGATGCTCATGGACGTAAAATGAGTAAATCGTTAGGTAATGTAATCGATCCGTTGAATGTGATACATGGCATATCATTGGCTCAGCTCAACAAAATGTTGGAATCTGGAAACCTTGATCCGAAGTGAGCATTTTAGCCAAAAAATGGATTGTGATTAATCTTAAAAAATGCTTTGTGCTTTAGAAAGAAGTGATCTTTGCATCAAAATTTAACTTTTATGTCATAAGTATGCGTGTTGTTGACCTTTTTCGAATTTTATCTTATATGACCGTGTTTTGTAGGCAAGAGTCTTGCATTGCAAAGTTTTAGGTTCTGTTATCGATAATGAACTAACAATGTTTAATTTAAAGGAATAACATTGCCATTTTTCACGTTTACTTTGTTATCGTTGCAGAGAATTGAAAAGAGCGAAAGAAGGGCAAGCACACGACTATCCGAATGGCATACCAGAGTGTGGTACTGATGCATTACGGTTTGCACTGATTAATTATACTAGTCAGTGCCGGGATATCAATCTCGATGTGCTTCGTATTCAAGGGTACAGATTCTTCTGCAATAAAATCTGGCAAGCATCGAGGTTCACGCTGATGCAGCTTCATGGCAGTTTCGCATCTGCGGAAAAATTAGATGTTAGTTTTTTTCGGTGTCATGGGTTTGAGCGCTTGGGAACAGAGAATTATGTTAAAAAGTGGAGCTCACAAGCACAAGCTTTTCGATAAAAGTATATATCTAGAAGATTTTATGGATGACTAGCATGGTTGCTAGTTTTTTTGCTGGTATGGTAAAAAAAATTTAATTCCTTTTAGTTGTCGGAAGAGAGTAGTACGTTGGATCGTTGGATCATGTCACGACTATCTTATGCTGTTGAATTATCTAATAGTGGGATGTCTAGTTATCAGTTTAGTCGCGTTACAACTGCGCTCTATAATTTTTGGCAATACGATTTTT